GACGGATTATTACAGACAGACCAGTATTGGAGTCTTGTATCATGACGGGTTATTACAGACAGACCAGTATTGGAGTCTTGTATCATGACGGGTTATTACAGACAGACCAGTATTGGAGTCTTGTATCATGACGAGTTATTACAGAAAGATCAGTATTGGAGTCTTGTATCATGACGGTTTATTACAGACAGATCAGTATTACAGTCTTGTATCATGACGAGTTATTACAGACAGATCAGTATTACAGTCGTGTATCATGATGGGTTATTATAGACAGACCAGTATTGGAGTCTTGTATCATGACGAGTTATTACAGACAGATCAGTATTGGAGTCTTGTATCATGACGGGTTATTACAGACAGAAGACTCCAATACTGATTTTCTGTCTGTAATAACCCGTCATGATACTCAGTATTGGAGTCTTGTATCATGACGGGTTGAAATGCCAACAACAAAATTAAACACCGAGTAATTCTGCCTATATACCTACAACTTGTCACAAAATGTACATGCTGACAACGTTTTTTTCTTTCTACAGAAGACATACCCTTTTAGCGAAAAAAGTAAGTTAAAATAAACTTTTATTACTGAAGAAAACAAATCCGAGGTTTCAATGATACATTGTTTCTGCACGTCTGTGTACACATGGACATTTTTCAGTTACAAGTTCATTCACTACCTCACTTTTTCTTCATATACTTAAAAAAATATACAAGGTTCAAACCTTACCACCGAAACTAATTCCAGAAGAATCAAGAAAGGATCTTCTTCAAGGCACTGTCCAATCACTCGTAAAATGTTAGGATGATGAAGTTTTCTGTCGGAGATCGGAAAACTAAAATTAAGCTTGCACAAATAATGACAAAGTTTTCCGCAAGACATTGAAAGTAATATTTTGTGTCAATCCTTACTGAAGGTGCTTCATCTGTTGTAAAAGTATTATTACCTCAGTTTAATAGAAGATCACTCTGTTGAACACAAAGTGAAACACTTGAATGAAGGACATTTTTGTAAAACGATTTTTATTGTAGTTGCTCTCAAAAGACTACTTTATGATCTCAGTGTTTGAAGAAAGTATTTTCAGGTTTGTTTTAAGAACAATTTTTTTCTTATATCTCAAATTATCAAGCTTCAATTAAAGTACCAATTTGGAGAATTTATTTCTTCTTTGTTCTCAAGTTACCATGCATAACTCTAGCGTTGAAAGTTCCGTTAAATTGCACTATCTGACTTAGGCAAAAGCACTTTGTTTTTTTTTATCTTTCCAATAAATGTTTCGGCTACACGAGATGGAACACAGAGAAACTATTTTCAATTACGTAAGTTATTCAACGGGATGCGTTCCAAAAACTTACCTCAAAAATTCTAATTCATTCAGAAAATAATTATGTTGTGAGGGTGAAGCATCCTCGTGCAGTATTTTAATGGCTACCCGAGATTGAGGTTGGTCCTCATCACTTTGCTGAACCTCACCTTCAACCACTTTTCCAAACCAACCATTGCCAATCTCCTTCAAATAATGGATGTGGTGGCGGTTGAAATTATTATCTACAAAAGTATTTAATAATGATGTTATTAAAAACACTTGATGGTTTTACTTTAAAGAAGGCTTACGGTACAACAACAGTAAGTTGTTTTTTTTACCATCTTTATTACTCAGTTGTAAAAACGAAACTACTACTCAGTTAAAATGTTGTATCAATTTCTAATTTATCTCATTCAGCGTTTAGCAACAGAACAAACAAGTAAATTTAAAAGTTTATACTTGCAGTCTCAAATAAACTAATCACTTGGTAAGACTAATTAAATACTGTACCAAGCCATTCTTGCAGGACAAACTGCTTTGATAGAACTTGACCAAAATAGGCTGGATGGGGTACTCTGTCAACTGGCAGATCGCTTTGTTTCCTGGAATGAATTTCTGGTAGTCGATCAAACTGAACTTCAGCTTCATAAAACTGCCTGTTTAGTTGACTATGGATCGGATCTGATTCAAATGATGATCTTGGAAGATTATAGTAAGTTTTCTGGGATAAAGCTATCCCGTTGCTCTGTCCCAAGTTCTGTACATGAAAGACAAACACACACACTATTATAACAGGTATAGCGAACCAATGTTCTGTAGTTATAGCCAAATCCAGCAACACTGAGGGAAATAATTTTGTACTATCAATCATTACTCCAAAAATCTTCAATTGCTAAGCCTTGTTAGTAGCTACCAATCACAGTACAACAATATTACAACATAATTTGTTAAAAACAGACACTGACTCACCTGTTTTATATTTAGAAACATATCCTATTTTCACTGCTATTTCAAAATATTTCCCTTTTTCAGTTTTAATCACAAGTAAAAAACAATAATAATAATATTTTTTAAACAATTACATACAACTTCTCAGCTTTTTATTCTTGTAAAGAAAATATTGAACCCTCCAAACGAGTCTGGACTTGTCCTCGATTATGGGATTTATAAATAGCAGTATTTCATACCTGTCAAGTAGTGAATATGTTATCTTTACTGGAAAAAATTACTAAAATAAAATCCCTACAAAATTCTTTCTAACTATTAAGGTTTGATAATTAATATTTAAATCCTTATCTTTTTTTTTTGTTTTTGAATTTCGCGCAAAGCTACACGAGGGCTATCTGTGTTAGCCGTCCCTAATTTAACAATGTAAGACCAGAGGGAAGGCAGCTAGTCATCACAACCCTGAGGGTAGCGAGTTCGAATCCCCATCCCACCCAACATGCTCACCCTTTCGGCCGTGGGGGCGTTATAGTGTGATTGTCGATCCCACTATTCGTTGGTAAAAGAGTAG